CGGAGAACAGTGCTTACCTGCCCCCCCCACGCCACATCTCCTGTTCTCCATTACAAAGACTGAAAACTATGAAACTGAACGGCTCTACTTGACTTATTGACCTAGGCGCTGGGGGAGGGGGGTGGGAAGGAGGAGGGAAGAAAAGTCATTTCCAAGGGAGTTTGTTTGAATAGGCGATAGCTGCTGATTTTCTTAAATTGGTTAAAACGTTTGTATTGATTCAACTTCTAGGCAGCGAAAGGAGCTGGACTACTTAAGACATTGCGTAAGAGGATACGTATAATGAGATTGCGGCACTAGATGGAAAAGTGAAAGTACAGGAAGATTTAAGAGAAATCTAGATGAGATGGAGGATTATGAAATGGAATGCATTTTTTTTTATTTCTGCAAAGCTGGAAATAGTACTATCGCTGTCAACTTTTTTTTTTTGGCCAAGGTTGCAGGAAATCCATAAAAGAACTTTTCAGAGCTACCAGTCTGTATACTTAGATGTTACCATTTTTTTCCTTGAAGTGTAACAAATTCAGCTCCACTTAGCCTGAAGGAGTATTTGTGAATCACTAGAATCTTGAGATTCTTCAAGATTCTGTACCCCTTCCTATCTCTTTGAAATTCAGGAACAGATGTATTTATTTTGATCGTTGAGCCAACAATGACCCGATATTGGCAAGCAGCCTATTATGCCTGGCAGTATTGAATGTGTTTGCTCCCAATTTGGCCTGCAAAGGTTCAATCCTGACCTAAGGGAGGAGGAGGGCAGCTTTGTATCGGTCACATACTATGGCTGGTGGAACCTCATAGGATGAGATCGGAGGTACTGGCCACACAAACTGACTTTCAAGGCAAAAATCGGCTCTGAAAAGACAAACACCGAGCATCAGGGCAGCCATCACCAGATTGGTGCTACACACAACTGATGCTTCAGAATAGTGTAGCACTGAAATGCTTCCCACTAACAGGGGTTTCCACTGGGGGCGTGTGAACATCACGAGTGATGCTGCAGCCTCATCCCTGTCCGTGGTGAACAGCTTGGAGGTAAAACATTACAGAAAAATGTTCTGGTGACAGAATACTTTCGTGTGTATTATCTAGCGGTTTATCCTAGGAGACGTCCACAGACGTTAATCAAATCTGGTGGTGTTGCTTTTTTCCCTTTAGGGTGCCTCATTAAGCTAATGACCCACTGTTCTCGGTGCATGCTTCCAAGCCTGTGAATTCTGTAATCTTTTGACCTTTACTGTAGACAGATGGTTTTCTGTTCCCTGTCAGTTTCACATATTTTTCTTTAAAAAATAAATTGTGCTTAGTTTCCTTTGCACTTATGTTTCCCGAATCATGTCCTCAAGCCTTGGCTGTCTGATGCACGGTTAATACTGCATGCAGCCACACAAGACATTAGGCTCTAGCTTCGTTTTGGGCGGGTTATCAGACCGTGACGAAAAGAGTGGACTTCGCTGTGCCCCTTGTCAGCTGTTTTTTTTCCCCTCCCTGTAATATTTTTAGAAGAAGTCTGCTCAGGACTGTCGCATTGCTTTCCAATTCTAATGAGTGCAGTCTGAGACTTCAGAATCACTCTGGGAAAAATAAACACATCTTGTGTGAACTGGAGCTTAATCTTCATTCCGTTCAGCCACTTCTGCTTAATGACTGCAATCATCTATCCATTATCAGAAAGCCACTTACTCCCTGTGAGACAAGCCAGAGCCCATACCAGAACCATGGGCTGCAAGGCAGGCCCAGGGAACCAGTCCATCTAAACACACATACTGTACCAGCACACTGGTCCATTCTAGAGACAGCCAATTAACCCAGCCACCGTGGTTTTGGAAATCGGGTAACATTCATGCAAAATGGAAAGAAAGTGCTCGTTTAGCACATAAGGCATTCCAGTTGGGAGTAGAACCCACCACCCAAGTGCTCTGAGGCAGTTCTCACTGCAGTGTTTCACCCTAAATGAAATCATATCAATATGACATGTATTCTTTTATGGTGAAAGATGAATGTAGTGGCTATTGTATTCTGAACTAGGAAATCTCGACCTGCATATTCCCTTACAGTATGTATTTGATTGCAAGGTGTTGGAAACAGTCACCTGCTTTTGTTGTTCTGCATCGCAATGCTCAGTTAAGGGGAACAGCTAACTCAGGCTGACCACTATGACCACCCTGCTGTTTGCATCAAGTCCTGCAATGATATTGGAAGTCTCTGTTTCTCCTCTGCAAATGATTCCCAAGCACAGGCTTTACCTATATGATGAGACATGGGCTGAGCGCATTGTTACAATAAGAGCAATTTTCAGCCTCAGTCTTTTTTAATGATGAGAACTGCACATCACTCCCGCTGTGGAGCAATTTAAGTGAAGATTACCAATGTATGTATAGTGTAAGCGCTTGCCAGTGTATGCTGTTCCCCGAAAATCAATCTCTTCACAGCTAATGCTGTGCTGTGCTCTCTACTTTAGCACTGCTGGCTCTAAACTCAGTCTGTCTTTGTGGTACTTGGTGATCCAGCTGCAAATTCCCACTTCAAGACCACTCAAACCCCCTGGGATGGACCTGTTCTCTTGATCTCGCCTGCATCCCGTTATCCACAAAAACTGGTTTCTCATGTAACTCAGAAGTCAAGACCTACGAATGCTTGATGATCTCTTGACGTTTCAGCTAGGAGGCCTCAGTTGCAGAATCTGTGGCTTGCAGTGAGAGATGGGCGATGGTTTATTGGTGCTATGCTCTTCACACTCCCATGGTGCACCTTTGAGAAGCTGGGGTGACCATGAAGCTGGATGGGTCCTTCCTTTGGTCCCAAGCGTAGCCCTGAAAGGTCCAAACTCCCGCCTCTCGGCCGCGCCACACCAAGTCCTCTTTCTTCATCCCTCCCTCCTGTCCGTGTGCACGACCCACAGGCTGTCCCTGCTGGAGGAGTGGCGAGGAGTGCGGGACGAGGAGCTCTCCGCGCTCAGCAGCATCCCGGGCTGCGTCTTCGTCCACGCCAGCGGCTTCATCGGGGGCAACCGCACGAAGGAGGGGGCGCTAGAGATGGCCCGCCGGACCCTGCGTGCCACCGGCCGGGAGCCCCCCGCCGAGACCAGCTGACCTGAGCTACCGGGCAGCTCTGGCTCTCGGACTTTGTGGGTATCTGTGCGTCACCTGGATCTGTATTTGTATTCTTTTTAAATAAACACTCTCAAAAAGATGAATGCATCTCCTTGTTTTTTTTTGTCGTTTTGGTCTTGAAACCAGCCCCTGGTTTGAAATGAAACAATAATAGGAAGGAGGGAGTGCTTAATTTCTTTTTTATTTGGGTGGCACTCGATAAAAAAGTGCCTTAAATACGCACCTGTTCATATGGTAGAAGTGGGTATTTTAGGGAGCACTTTGGGTACAACAGCAGTGTCCTACCTGGGACTTGAACCCACAACCCTCCACTTACCAGTCCAGAAACCTGGCTCCTGGGCCGCATTGCCACCCTGATAGATTCTGCTGCCTTACCGCTGCAATTTTAAACTTGGGGGTAATTAAATATAATTGACACAAGCCGTTATTTCATTTCTTGTCGTTTGTCTCGAGTGTGGAGCCCCTGTTGATTTTTTTTTTTTTTACAGCAGGAAAACGAGTTGACTCTGCCGGCCGCGGGTCTGCAGCAGCTCCAGGACGTAGGAAGTTGGGTCTGGGTTCATGCGAATCCAACACTGGGGCCCGAAAAGCTTCCATCTTTCATCGGGGATTGCAGCCCTCTCTATGCCCACCCGATTTAGAAATTTAATTCCTTTGCCGCCGCAACTGGGGCATCGGGGGTAAGAAAAAGAAAATATCTTGAAAGGGATTTTCCTGATTTAGTGCAAGGTAATTATAGAGCCGCCTGCGTGAGCCTGGCATGTCGCCTCATTATATCGAGTTTTAATAGGGCAGATCTGTGATGTGGCAAGCGTGACACGGGAACTGGATACCCTACACTGCTCTCGTTCATAATTAACACCCGGCCTATCTCTCGACTTCAGTGCTACACCTTCCATTACCACCTCCCTTTCTTTGCATTGATTTTCTTTTTCTTCTCAGATGGCTGAAAATCGATAGATCGACGTGTCGTTTTCTCTTTTACTTCAGATCGCTTTGTGTTTTTTATTCAGTGAAATAAAGACAGCCTTACTTTCATGTGAAACTTAATCCCAACAGTATATGGTCCTTTCTGTAGATTTATGGTTGCTTTATTAGCAGATGGAGTACAGCGATCACTGTGTGCGTTTCTAAAGCCTGTACCTTAATTAAAGCACTATGTGTGGCATAGTAACTTGATCTTGTCAGGTGTTAGATGAGTGGGACCACATCTAGTAGTGGGAGAGACTTCCAATGAAAACCAGTTTACTGCTTTAAATGATATTGGTGGAACACTAGGTGGCGCTCTTCTTTCTGACCCAGAATTTCCAGAGTTAATAGTCTGCCGTCCTTAAGATCAGATGTGAAAATAAGGTTGTGTTAATTTTATTGCTGAATATCCTGTTGCCATTTGTAAGAGTTGTAGTATTAACCCCTCTGTCCAGGTAAAATACCACTAACCCAGCCTGGCCTGCCTACATTTTTTGCCTTAATTCAACTGATAAAGTAATTTCTCACCCCCTGCCTGATCTCCTGTGTCGTGGTCCCGGTGGTGGAGAAAAGGTGATTCACTTCACTGCTGGACAGGTGCGAGGAATTATTTCTGTTATATATCTCCCCAAATAGAAAGGTTATCATCTTTCTTCCTACACTTCCGTACTATGCATGGGTTTTAAGATTAATGTCTGTGTCAATCTCTGCATGATTCACAAGGCCAAGAAATTATATTAGGTACTGTTCTGTCTGTTTTAAGTTTGGTTTGTTCTTCATGTTGTGTTGGATTAAGAGTCTTAGACTATTAAATTATTCTGCTTTTTTAACTCTTTTCAGTGTTTTTACTTCTTTATACAAAAAAAATGTTTTGGTTCTCTACTGAAATGGTCATTTTAAGATCACCGTACAATTTTACTCGCTCATTTAAAGAAACTCTGTAAAACAAGTCTCATATGCAACAGAGGTAGAAAAAAGCAGCGGATTGGCTTGAAACCAAGGGTAAAACCAAATTATGCACTAAATGATTTTGGGAATGGATAGGAAGTGATTTCCAAAAATGGCAACAATCCCAGAATCTAGTAGATTTGTGGACTGAGTGCCACAGACGTGGCACGACACATCTGAAGATCCATTACCCAATGTGGCGCCTGGTCTTTGTCAGTATATGAGCAAGAAGGTCTGAATCAGCAGATCTCAGACCAAGAGCACCATATAAATGCAGAATGTTTTTAACAGTCTGTAGCAGGAGTAAAATCCTCTCTAAATTGTAATGTGAGTGCAGTTTACAGAGGAGAGTTATGTGCTGAAGTACTTATAGTCAGCACACAAGTCACAGAATTCTGGACATATTGAAGCTTTTCAGCTTTACTGATGCCTAGAGAGAACCAAATGATCTTAATGACGAAGAGAGCGAATTTGTTTTGATGTATAAATGTGATGTCTTATGTGTTTCCAAGTTCTTTTTGTCTGTGTTCATCCCTTTTGGTGCACAAGACATCGTCTGTGCAGTCCTTTTTTTATTCTCCACTGCTGTGATGCCATTTAGGGGAGGAGACCAGGGTTATGTATGGGATAGGTGAAGTTAAGCCAGAGGTGTCCAGCTCCTGGTCCTGTAGGTTGATGTGTCTGCAGATAGACATTCAAACACAGCTCTCTGTGTAATGGTTCTGGTGTAATGGTTCCTTCCGGATCTTCAGGTGCTGCTGCTTTAAAGAGACCTGGAATACCCACAGCCACACCTCCCCACCAGGACTGGACACCCCTAAGATCATCTCGGGGATGTTGTGCCTTGCTGGGTAAGAGCATAAGAAACATTGCAAACCAGAGGCCACCTAATTGAGGCCAGGTCCTTATCCAACCATTGTCTTAAAAGATCCTGAGAATCTACTTTCAGCTACATGGCTGGGCATCTGGTTTCAGACCCCTACCACCCTTTGTGTAAAGGTGCTTCTCCTTTTTTTTTCGGTTCACAATGTTAACCTTTTTAATTTCCATCTGCGTCCTCGGGTCTCTGCGGTTGGCTTCTACATAGAGGTCAGCACAAGACAATGAAGGGACCCTGCAGCACTCAGTCTTGCTTTTTCCCCCCTTATCTCTGGTAACACATGGATTGCTATCTGAGTGTCCAGGAGACGTCTCTGTATTCACTGGTTCGCAGATGTGCTGAGATACATAATCCAGGTGTGAGACAATTTCCAATACTGGGTTCTAACCCAAGTAGTCATGTCAGATCTAGAATGAGATCTAACTTTAACTGTGTGTTAGCTGTCTTGGCAGAAGATTGCTGGAAATACATTTAGAATCCTTGGTATGATAAAAGGATGCTTTCTTAAATACTTAAGAATTTGCAGTCCCTTAAAGAATGTGGGGTTGTGCATATTGTTATTTTCAGTATAACGTAATACGGCTTTTATTTTAATGCACACATATTTTTTCTCCATTGCATTAATCTTTGCATTGCCGTATAGTGCAAATCTACATTTTTTTCCGCAAGTATTACATTTTCTCATGAGCAAAAGACTGTAAGCATATATTTTCCAGTTTGCTCCTCCTGTTGAAATCGATGGGGGGTATTTGTTCTTTGTTGTTTTTTTTTTAAACCCTCTCCATTTGTTCTATCCTAACCATGCGCTAGGAAATGCAGCAAAATATATTTGGAGCTTTCATGTGGAGCCTGGTTTAATCCCCCAACCTTAATCCGGTTGTATCAGGACAAGAATGAAAAGGGATCTGATTGTCTAAGGCTCAGCTGGAAATGGAGGGCTCGGGCAGCCTGTTTTCATGCCAGACACAAAAGCCTGCATTAAAGATGTACTGCTGGGCAAGGCCACTGTGGAAACACTAAACAGGAGCAGCATGCCATTCGTGAAGTACAGCCCCAGTAAACCTAACAGACAGGAAGCCTGCTATTACTGTGGGATTAGCCGTTGTGTTTGATGTTTCTGCACAGGAGGATGTGTCCGAATCCAAGAAATGGAAAATGTTGACTTGGGCATTTATGCAGTTTAATGCAATCAGTTCCATCTGCTCTGACGCCTTGTAACTGTCCCATGAACCGTTCGTCTTACATGTTTTTAAGTGGTTTTTGAGTGGTTGATTCCTCAAGGCCACGGGCCTAGTCAGCCTGCATGGTCGGGCCAGGGGCAGGGGTATTGTCAGCCTCTATGGTGAAAAATGTTGGTTTAAAAAAAAACACTGATACTTGGGTTGAAAGCATTATCATTTGAGAAAATGCAAATGTGTAGTATCACAATATGGATAACCAGAGTAAACTGTTACTGATCAAATAACAGTTGTGGAAGACAGTAAAGTACAGTTTATCCTAATCTATTGGCTGGATTTGCTAAACCAGCAAAAATCATTTCTCAAAGGGGGGTTGCCTGAGGTGAGGGATTTATTTATGGGAAGTTATTTTAGAATTGAATTGATTCGGGATAACTGAGGGTTTTTGCGGGACAAACTTTGAGCAGCTACCCAGTCCAGTAATTGGGTACAAGCGCCAGTCGCTCAGGATAAAAGCAGCAGCCGGGTTACTATCGATAATGACAGATAACAAAAGAGGATTGCTTCAAAAAGATTATTCTTATGTCTAACCTTTCTTAAGAGATTGTTCTGTACAAGCAGACAGGTTCATCGCTTTGCCCTTGTTATAAGCCCCCATTATTTTCTGAAGAGATACCTTTTGAGGTGAATGTCTGTGTTGGGTTTCCCAAATGAAACGCATTTTTAAGAAGTAAAAAGCCTTCTGCTGTTGACCTAACTTGGTCCACCAGCTCGCTTCTGGTAATTGCATAAAACGGTCGTTTTTCTTTTACATAAAACCTTGCAGTTAGTCTCTTTTACACCTCTTCAATGGTACCCAGTCACTTGGCCAGCGGAAGCCATTACCTCCCCATCTGCTCGTGCCCTTCCGAACCTGCCGTTCCCATAGCGACAAGCAGCACACAAACGCCAATACAGTCTCCTGGGCGGAGGACGTTAACTTGCTAAAGACCGCTGTACTGTTCAATTCCAGAAGCTTTATTGACATGACCCATGAATTTCAGTGTTGCCAAAGCATATACAATCAACAAACAACTACAGACAATACAAAACAGACACACACATCGTAAGGCATTTACAACATACTACCCCTCCCCTTCAGGGCAGGTCTGCTTTGAAGTGTTTATTTGGGTTGAAGCGTCCTTCTTAAGAAAGAAAAAAACAGCCGAGTCTCCATTCTCTACATTAAGGACAATGGATTATTGCCGTAAAATCTTTATCTTTTCTTTATAGGCTAAGGTACTGTATATTATTCGATACCGTATTTTTTTTCCAGTGGGGAACGTCATTCACATACAGAAAAGCGCTAACTTTCTACAAAACGTCCTTAATAAACGATTTAGAGAATTTAAATTAATTCAAATTAGTCGGAATAAGGCAATAATCAACGGACTCGCTGTTCTTTTTGACGGTTATTAAAATACTACAATACTTATTGGGGACGCTCTGGACCATTAGTGTCTACAGGCGATTGTCTGACGAGTGTCTACAGACTCGTATTTTTCTACTGGACCTGAGGTAACCACGATCTTAAATCATCTTGCAGTAACAAGGTGAAACGGAGGTAAGTGAAACATCAATTTGGTTTAAGGGTCTAAACGCCTATTACTGCATCAGACAACAGTAGTACAGTAGGTCGAACAAGACAACTCTTTCTCTGTCAACACCAGCCTTTCCGAAGACCTGGTTGATTAAAATCAGACTAATGAATGCGCGACATTACTATTCGCCTTCCTCGCGCGACTAACGGCTGTTCGCTCTTCCCAGCTCCGCGAAGCAGCTGCTTGCCCGGCGGCGGCGCGCCTTATCGATCCGACTCAACAGGTCTGTGAAACGATCTCGATCGAGCAACCCGACCTGCCAGTAGTGTTCAACGTCACACGAACCGCGCGCAGCAGCGGCTGGGCCTGTAAGAAATGATGTTTGCTTAAGGCACCTGTGTTGCCCGGTGGAGGAAAACTAAAAATACAGTTATTATTGAATTATTTTGACAAAGCACGGTTTCGCGGTGGTTACAGGTGATCTGTGTACGATTCCTGCAAAACAGCTTATGAAAATGCATTCAAGTTACCAGAAGACACTGAAGTGGGGTTTGAATTCACGGATCCAACCCGACGCCCTGAAGTGTTGGTGAGCTCCGTTAATGTGCTAGGTGTTCTGTGTCTTGCATATTTACAGAAGGCTGTTCCTTTGAAATGAGACAGCTAGGGCTCCGTGTAGCAGTTGTAGCACAGGGATCTGTTTTTGTTTCTAGGGCTTCGGAGTAGTGTGTTTGGAGTATTCTCAGTTTTCAATACATTTAGTGCCGTTTCCACTTGTATTCTCCAGTAGGACCCTACTTTAAGCCTTTTCAGCGCGTATGGTCGCTCTCCTCTGGATTGAGCCCAGAACTGCAATACCCGTCATCAAACGCGTTGACCAGAATTGTACGCGGTACTCTAAATGAGTTTTTATTAGTCAGCTGTAGAATTTTAACATGACATCCCTTGGTTTGACGCTTTAAATGTCTGTATATTTCCGAATATTCTGCTTACCTTTTCTTTTTTTACCCTCTCACGTCGTGCGAGTTATATGGTATCGCCTCTCTTCGGCGGGTCGTAACTCGCACCCGTGTGCCAGACGTTCGTCTAAATCTTCAGGTTTTTAGTCTGAAACCGCAATAACAACGAGAACAGAAATCAGTCTACAATAACAAGCATATCTTATTAAATGTATAAATATGAATAACATTATTAGTAGTATTATTATAGTTGATTTATTTAATAGTTTAATAGCTCAGGTCTGCGGTCAGCCATGACAACGGCTAGATAATGCTACAACAGAGGGTGATGGAAGAGGTACAGATACTGTTGGTTTCGTTATTCCTTATTCTCGATTAACGCCTTGACTGCCAGTCTGAGCTTTTTTTTTTTTAATCCGCATTATTCATGAGGATTTCAGAGGTGGTTTGAAAGAAGGTTAATGTGCGAGGCAGCCGCTCGCTCGTGCCTCTGTGTCAGTTCCCCGGCACAGCCACCAGAAGCGGGTTCGCTCGTCTTGTCGTGGGAGAGAGAGCGCCAGTGGGACCTGCGATCTTACGAGCAGGTTGTGGGCGACAGCCAGGCACCTGGGGCTGCGCACCGTCAGTCAAGCAGACAGAGGAGCGTGCCCGCGGAGCTCGCTGCAGCTCGGAATGAGCTCCGTCCGAGCGCAGGTCTGTTCGGTTCTGGGCTGGAGGGGGTAGCCCTCTGCACTGGGCCAAACGACGCACGGTAAGTGGAAACGATTAAAGGGGGAGGAGAAGAGAGGGCGAGAGGATTCGATGCCGGACGTGTTTCGCCACTTTGACGGGCTCGAAGGAAGAATTCGCGGTTTTACCGCGTTGACTGAGAAATATGGAGATGCCGGCCGGTAAAGATTCAATCTCCAGCCCGTGGCTGGGTTTCCTTGGGAATCTCCCCGTGGGAGAAATGGATGTATCCATCTGATCGACGGCTCAGGATGTGCCCATACCCGGCAGTCTGCCGTTCAGTTTTGGTTTAATTCTCTGGAAGTTGGGATACATCTCGTACGACAACTTTCCGGTGGAATGAACGATGCAGCCCAACTTTAAATGTCTAGATGTGCCGAGACGCTGCTTTCGGGTTGTAAATATGAATGTATGACTTTGAGATTGTTAATTTTGTTTTACTCGCAGTTCTTTTTTTTTGTTTTGTTTTTCTGATTGATTTCATTAATCCAAAACCAGTTAAGACGGTGCTGGTCATTTTCTTTTTTTTAGCAAGCTATATGCCTGTTGCTTACCACGCTGGACAGGTGAGTAAATGTTATTGAGAAACATTATCAACGCTTTTTAATACATGTAGTCCTTCTGGTGGCTCTGTTATAGTCAATAGTAAAAACCGTTCGTAATTTTGAAGTGTTAAATCTGTGTTGTAAAGATTAGTGAACAAATGTGCAGCGCATTCGAGTAATTGAACAGATCTATTGATCAGATGCGATTCTACAACAGAGTCGGCAGCGGTGTCATATCTGGCTTTTCAAGTAGGTTTAAAATGAAATATCACGGTCATGCCGTGGGCTGGAGTGAGAGGTGGCATTTAAAAGAGAAACGGGTTATCAAAAAACAAGAAATCAGTAACGCGTTAAATCTCGCTTTCTTTGATCTGAACTTTTTTTTCCTCCCCCTTGCAAATAAGTTTAACATTTCACAGGGCAACTACTCGTGTCTGACGTCGTGATTTCAAACACTGCAAATGCAAGCGATTAAGGTTTTGCCTGCTTAGAAAAATAACGTTGATCGTTGGAATAAAAAAGGGATTTAATTCTAATCCCCCATCCTAGACAGAGATTAGGAAGCAATTTCATTGCGCTGTTTGGATGAAGAGGTGATCATGCCCACATGTAAAGTAACAGCTGTCTTGTTAATGCCCTGTGTTACTCCGTCAACCCTTCACTGTTTTTTTACTCGAGAAGAAATGCGCAGTTTACATTACAGGGTGTTCTTTGGAAAGTCGTTACCAGCATCAATTCATCGGAAACGATATAACAGTCGCTTCTGGAATAAATGTCACTATTCTCCTAGCAATTCTAGAAGATATTTTATCATGAATAATAGTATTATGTGAACATCATATTATGTTTACAGTATTATGTAAACGTTATATGTGCTGGATGCCAGTTCCCGTAATTGGATGTACCCAATTAAGGGAAAGCCTTTGACGCTATTTGTCCTCGACACGTTGTGTTGTTGTGAGCCAGTCATTCTGTCGTGAATAATCTTGGCTCTGCCGGCCGCGCTCCTGAACGCGCCGCAGGCGAGGGAATTCTGCTCGGTGAGATAAGAGCCGGCTTGTCACACCAGACAATCCGCACCTACGAGCACCTCGAATTAGGTCACCGGCGCCCGCCAGCACAGAGTGTAACACAGCTGCCACCCCGCGCACGGACACACGCGGGAGCGCTATCAGACCGAGGGGAAGACGCCTCGCCCGAGAGGCCGCAGGCGGCGGCGGCTGGAGTGGGGGGGTGCGGGTGACTGCGCCGAGAAATCTTCCCAAACCAAACCGCAGAAAATGCATTGGTGGACGGGTCAATCTCCCCATGTACAGCACGGATTGAAGTTAGTTTCCAGATGTTATTGTTTTTAAAATGTCACCGCTGTTAGGAAGTCTGCATTATTATTGTTTTGTTAGTGAAAACTAGCGTTTGTCCAACTGTATTTGAAGCCCTCAGGAAATATCAAGCACAAAACACACCAGTCAAATCAAATGTTTCTGTGAGCATCAACATTCAGTAACACATGGCTGCCACATTTTCACAAAATGATCAGGGATTAGGAAAATTCTGGCCTTCTATTGAAAAGACAAGGCGTACCCAAATTCATTCTGCGGATTACCGTCTCCATGGCTGGGAGGCACAGTGGTGCAGGTGGTTTGCATTGCTGCCTTGCAACGCCAGGGCCCAGAGTTCAATTCTGGGCCTGGGCTGCTGTCTGAGTGGAGGTTGCATTTGTGTGTGTGTTTCCTCCAGATGTTCTGCTTTCCTCCCAAAATCACACTTGTTTGCTGGGAAACCTGGTGGAGTGTTTGTGTGTCTGTCCTGTGATGCACTGGCGTCCTGCCCAGGGTGTACCCTGCCTTGTGCCTGCTGCTGGCTGGGCTAGGCCGCAGCCCCCCCGTGACCCTGAGCTAGAACAGCTGGTTAGAAAGTGCATGGACGGATCAAAAAGGTTGCATGACGTGCAGTGGAATTGTGTTCCCTTGTGCTGTGGAAATTGGAGCTGTTTTGGAATTGTGTTCCCTCGTGTTGTGGTGTCCGGACACTTGACCTAGGCCCACACATTCCACACAGCATCCCACTCAGACTGAAGCCCGGTGAGCACAGCTGGGATATCGGCAAAGGACATCCCCGGACATGATCAACATAGTGCCTTGCACTCTGGTTGCCATCAATCTTTGCAAGCTGAGTTATGTAGCAACTAGCCACTCCTGCCCAGACCATATAAGCTGGTTTAAGAGCACATAAGAGTGTGATGTCTTTTAACACTCTGTATACTGTATGTAAGCACCTTTATTCTGCAAGGTGCTTGTGCATATCAGACAAGGAAAACGATTTAAAATTCTCTTGAGGTTCAAAGTTTAGTATTTCACGTGCATTAACATGTTGAAGGGAACAATGTCAGAATTAAATCATCGAGAGTGTGACACCAATCTAATTTGTGTAATTGCAGTGAAATGAGATGAGTGCAGAGGCAGCATGGTAGCTCAGCGATTAGCATTGCTGTCTCACAGCACTGGGGCCCTGGGCTCAGTTCCAGACCTGTGTAGAGCTTGCATGTTCATACAGTGTTCTTGTGGGTTTCCTCCCGCTGTCCAAAGACACGCTGGTGGGTTAATTGGCTTCCGGGAACGATTGGCCCCGGTGGAGTGTGTGCGTTTGTGTCTTTGCTTGTCCTGCGATGGACTGGCCCCCCTGGCGCCCCCTGCTGCTTGCTGAGGTAGGCTCCCGCTGCCCCACGATTCTGAACTGGATGAAGCGGTTTAGAAGACGGAGGGATTGAGCTGGTAGCCTGGTAGACCTTTCCAGGACTCAGTCTGCGTGGGGCAGCAGTGTCTTTGTAGGCTGTACTATGAGAAAATGTGCTGCTGCTTCTCCTGCGTCTTTTACATTTCGAACATTTTTGGGCAGCTCTCTCTGCGTCGGTCAGGACTGCCATTTTGTCTTCCATGTGCTTCGTGTCGACTCAAAGCCGCAGTTCTGCTGCTGCTAATCACTGTCTATTGTGGAGCTTGTCCTTCATCCCATCAGCCTGTAATCACCAGCCCTGCAGCTCTGGGTGGGACCGCAGGGTCATCAAGGGCACCCCACCGCTGTCTGGAGTGAGGGCTGCTGTTCCTCTCTTTGTGACACAGCTACACATTTTGTGGTTCTCCACAAGTTGGCTGGAGATGCCTGTCTGAGGCGCATTGTCAAGATCTGTCAGTCTGTCTTAGTGGGATGCTCGCCTCACAGTTGTAACAGCTTCAGCCAGAGCAAGTCTGCTTCTGTTTCTGCATTCGAATCGCTCTCCATGATCTGTATATCAGCTGCTCCCAGGAGACTCCAGTAGGGGGGTTTCTAGTGCCTTCTGTGAATGCTGATGGATGTACAGTGCTTTATGTTACAGGCTTTGTATTTACTCACTGGGCAGAGAGTGTGAGTACTTTTTCCCACGAGGAATGCCAGCCATGAGCTCCTAGAAAATCGGTGTGAGAAGAGTGTGTATCTTCTCTCAGGCAGGTGGTTCTGTGGGGAAAACCCAGTGAGGGCATGCAGAGAGGTGCTCAGGTGCAGCTTGTGATCTCTGAAATTCTCCAGCACGTTTCCAGTGGCATGTTCAGAATGAAAGGAATTCGATTCTGGGTGCTGTAATTGCTCTGTTAAAATATCAAAAATTGAACACCCAGTGTAGTTCAGAGAGTGTGAGCTCTATTGATAACCAATTAAAGTTTTATCAATAGATCGGATTGCTTGGGGAAGGCCTGGGTCTTGTCTTAGCAAAGGTTGTCCTCAGCAGGAGGGCTGATTTCAGCTTGCAAAAAAACACTGATGATTATGTTACAGAGTCTAGAGTACATCTGATGAGCACTAGGGACTGTTCTTCTCCTTGTTTTCACAGTTTCACTGTGCAGAATCGTGTTGGGCAAAGCCGGGACATGAACCTTCAGCCGCATACTAACGAGAGAGGAGAGATCTGAGATTCCCAGACAGCTGCCAGCTGCTCTTTCAAACGCTGGCCCTCCCAAAGGGAGACGGTGTCACCGAATCAATTCCAGGGTTTTCAGTGTTGGAAGATGCTTCAGTCAGATTAGTATTGAAAGGAAGTGGCGTCTGTGCTTGAAATAAGAGGAATAAAGCAATGAAATCTTCAACGTTTCAGCTACTGAGCATTAACAGTTCATCTGTTCTGACCTCATTTGTTCTAACCTTCAAAAGGTCTTCAAAGGGCTTATAGGAAGGTGTTTAGAGACAATGTAGGAGCAAAAGGAAGTCTGAGAACTCAATCTCTTTCTTTTTTAGACATGCCCCCTCCACTGTCAATGGGACTGCAAGCCCCTGGGATGCCACAGGGGGCGCTGTGAACCCAGAGATCCATGGTTAGCTAATCCCACCCTACATTCAACAGCGCCCCTTCAGTTGTGCGCTGCTGCTTGGGGAATGAGCTCGAACCTGTGACACCTGGATCATAGAGACCTACCTAAGCTCTGATGAGCACCTGTATTTGCAGAGCCCCTTGGATGCCCAGGCTCTGTTCTTTCAACACTGAGATTATCTCTTTGTCCAATTGCTCTCCTTGGCCAATGCAATCCCTGGCCTGGTCCAGACTGGTGCAATCTGCCCTTCAGTCTCTCACATCATCGCACACATCGCCATCTCATAAGGGGAGTGAACCTGCTTGAAGAATAGAATAGCATTGGACCTGCGCATGTTGTGGGTGCTTTGGGAATAAATTCCACTGCCTGTTCAGGTAGAGAACTTTTGTTTGTTCTCACATGTACATGAGCCCAGTACATTACTCTCACCTTCCTCCGATATTTCAGCCACTGATATGCAGAGCCCTGCCATCTGACAATAAAGTGGTTTTCCCTGACTGCAGTTCAATTTCTTCTGCAAGCGCCACATGGTTCCAAAGCAACCAGGTTGTCACGCCCTCTGCAGCCAGAGTCCTCTCCCTAGTTTCCGGTCTGCTGTCCTTCCTGTCCCTCTCTTTCCCTTGGGCTATATATTTCCGGGTCTTGCACTCTGCCCTCGCTCAGCATTGATGTTCGGATGTC